CAAAACACCCACTGTTTAAAAAAAGCCTGTACTTTCTGCTTTTGTTGCTGACGGTGCTATTGCTAAATTAATGTTATTTGGGCCTTCGTCTCTCATTTTATCTGGTCTGCCAACATCCGATTTCTGAGGTACCCAGTGACCTTTCTCTAGCATACCCAAACGCTACAGCAATTTAATAGCATGTGAACAAGGACTGTTGCTTATAGAATTTAATAGATTTTCAAAAGCAAATAATATGGGGAGAATGTCATAAAACCAAATGTAGAATAAAAAGGCATTCTTACATATGGAACTTGGAACATTATCCTGGCTAGGCTAAACTGAATTAAAGGGATTGTGGCAAGTCATTGAACTCATTTTTATTGCAGTTGGTAAAGTTTTTAGCATAGTAATCAGAATACCAACAAGAAAGAGACAAGAGCCAAGCCTTATTCTTTCCAAACAACGTATTTTTACCCATGGAGAACAACAGAGTTGTTAGACCTTATCTAAGAGAAGTGCTCCACTAGTTCATTAAATGTATCTTTTAAGAAAGATAACTGAATTCTTTTAAGTTCCATTGAAAAAGCTATCACTGGAATTGAGGAATGGTAACTCGTACAGAGATAACCTATATTTTAATACCTCAAGTTGCTTACTAAGAAAGTACTGTGCAGAACTCATCAAGGACCAAGCACAGCATAAGTAAGCTGCAAACCTTTCTGTATGTTCTTTCTCCCACTGCTGTAATGGAACATTAGCCCTTCCCCAGTGCTCCTTCACTGAGCTATTGCAATAGCTCATAATCAAGAATAAATTAAAGCATTCTCTGGGGTTTTCTGGTTACAGTAATATGTATGCGTCGGAAATAACATACATTTCCTTCTTCTCCTATGTATTTTTCAAGACTAAATCTTATGATAAATACACTCTAGCCTTCTCAAATCTGGGTACTCAACTCACCAATGTCTTTAAAAAATTATAATAAACCTGGTGCGATTAGCACATTTTATTCATTTACATTCAAAATTATCTAAAATAAAGCCTTCCTCTGACTCCAGGCACTTTAACATCATTAATAATATAAGAAAAGCCTAGGAGCATTGGAATAATTATTTCAACAGGAAACTAGCCCCTTCAGACCTGCACAGATACTCCTTCCCATCTTTCATCCTGCTGGGAAATAATTTTAATTCTTTTCACAAACTGCTATCAGACAGATGTCTTTTTCACAAAAAGATGACCAAATCAAGTTATTTCAGATGATGACAGAAAACAAGTCCCACAATGCCCTGCCACCTGCTCCTTCAGTTATATTAGGAGAGAAAAACAACTATCTGCCGATGACTCAGATAAACTGGTCTCAGATCCTCTGAAGCTTTAAGGAAGAACCAACCTTAAATACCAGTGGCCATCCAAACGGATGCCAAGCAAGATGTTCTGCTTCAAAAAAGAACCCCTGGTTCTGCTCCTCTCACTAGGGCAGGGTTGTCACAGCAGCAGCAGCTGTAAGCACGATGGATTCTGCGCCTCATCTGCCATCGATTCCCACAGCCCATCTTGTCAAATATTTACAGCCTGTGGGAAACACGGCTGCGAGTGCGCTGCTTTGCCAGGCACCCTTGAAAATGCATGTGTTACGGCTGTCATGCTCAGACAGCACTTGTGTGGTAAGCTGAAATGTATCCAGAATAGCTTTGGGGCCTTCTATTGCAGAGAGTACAAAGAAACAGATTTTCTGGAGAAAATTCCATTATGGGGTACACTCCACACTCCCCTTGGAGTGCCCACTGCAAGGGTTATTTACTTTAAACGCACAAAGATAATTTAAAAGCTACTTCAGTATTGATGTCATGTAATTTTCACACTAATAGTTCAAAGTCAAAGTAAACAAGTTTCAACGACACACACAAACACTTTCTGCTTTTTTATGTTACCAAGTGCATACCATAAAGACAAGTCTCACTTTACCCTTTGTAATCACTGTGGTTTGTTTTTTCCCCCCCCCATACAGTTATTCAGATCTCATTCCAGAATTCATCATCAAGTTAATTAACAGATTTCAGTTTGTTCTGTGTTTCAGGGGAGAGTGTTTGTGGCTTGACTCTGGGAAAATGCACAAAAGGCAGCGGCAGCTTGTTTTTCAGCTCCTGTCTTTGCATTTTCTGTTCAAGTATCAGGAAAAAGGGAAGAATGCAAATTAGGAAGCACGTGTATCTTGCAGGATTAGCATCCCACATCTCTCAGAAGGCAGAGAAATGACAGCACACCTTCCATTCTCAAGACACAAAAATTCATCATGTACCATTTCAGGGGGAGGTTTTCTTCGTGTTTCTCTGCCAAACTGCTGATCTGAGATCTTATTCATATTTCATTCATCCCTCTATCAGTAATAGCAGCTCCTCCACTGGCAATAGAGTTGTTTATATCATGATAATGCCCCAAGTGAAGTTTAGACTGGGTATATGCAAATATATGCAACATCCAAATATATGTGATGTACAATATAGGAAATCTATCAGGATTCATTTGGTGCATTCTGATTCTCTTGGCCTTAAGGCAATTTTACATAACTGATGTTCATGTTGTGAATTATTTCTTGGAGGAATTTGTAAGAAATTTTCCTGTAAGGATCTATTCCTTCAGAAATTGAAATAGAAATGCAGAGAAATTTTTCCACATAATCCCAAGAGTGTAAATTTAGGAAACAAAAGGCCAAGACCTTTAGATATTGCCTTAGTAAGTAAATTCTGCAGCCAAGAGCTTAATTCAGATCAGCTTTTTTTTGGTGGAGCATAAGTATTTCAAAGCCAAAAAAAAATTGATTCTAATGCTCATGGTTATTAATGAAATGTCTGCTTCTGGCATTTCAAATTTAAACCATGATGGTCCCACTAGATTAACCTGACACTGCGCATATCATGGACCATCAGATTTCAACCTGTAATTATCCAATAAAATAAAGCACATCTTCTGCTTGGCTGAAAAATAATTTTCAGAAACACATCTGATCTTCAACAGAAGATACAAAACAATGGAAAATTCTCGGTTTCTCCTGGGAATGTGTTCTGGTGGTTAACAATGTAAAAATGTGTGACTTATTTCCTATTTGAATTTGTCTGGCTTTTGCCTCTGGCCATTACTTCTTATTATGCCTTTCTTGAATAGATTAAAGAGCCCTTTAATATCCTGCATTTCTCCCCAGGAATTTTCTTATACGCTACAATCAAGTCACCTCCCAATCCTCTTTTAGATAACTTTTACCAGCTTGAGCTCTTAAAACCTCCCAGTGTAATGCATTTTCTCCAACCATCAGAACATTTTCCTTCACTTTTGCTCTCTCTTATTCTCCAATATGCTGCTTAAAAATCTGAAAACCACAACTGTTTGTACTATGCTGTGGATGGCATTGTTGAGGCCAAACATGAGAGGTAAAATAAAATAAATATTTCTTTATTCCTATTATTATACACTGATTAATCCTTTCACACTATAGCAGCATACAGGAGAGTCCTTATCTGATTGCTTACTATTCAGACCCTTAAATCTTTTTTGAAGTCTTCCCAGGCTATAGTCTTCTATCTTCCAGTTCCAGCCTCCGCACTCGGTTCTTAAGATAGACAACTTTATAGTTGGCTGGATCAAAATTCACTAAGTTCGAATGGGCTGCTTCTACCAACTGTTCTGATCAGTGCCCTGTCCTCATCGTTATCGACAACTCCATTAATCCTGTGGCTGAATCTTTGCAGCACCAGGTTTAGATCTGCTTCCAGAACCTACTACTGGAACCGCTTTAGACACCATCTCTTTCAACTAAGTTCTCCTCCTCTTCAGATTTGGCAGCAAATTCTATTTGCATGGTTTATTAGCACTGCATGCACCCAATGTTAATGAGAACATCATGCAGCACTGAGTCAAGTACCTCCTCAAAGCAGTATTAACAGCTCTTTTTACTAAAACTTTGTGTACGCTTGTATTACATTCCTTCACTTCAACTTTTTGCTATTTGAAATCCACATCAGATTACCTATTTTGGTTAGGATAGCTACTAAGCTAACTAGTCATTCTAGTCATATTGCTCACCCTTTTAAAAATGGCACAAAGCAGCCCGCTTACCACTTGCTTAACCTCCTAATTTTAACGCAAGATACAAATACACTGCAACATTAGCAAGCCACAGACCAGTGTCATTGAAACGCACTGGCGACCAACGCTTGCACTTCTCACGGCATTTCCAAGATGGAAACCCCAGAAACTGTGAACTTTCCAAGTACCTGGATGCAGATTTTCTGGCCCTGCTGAACTTCAAACCGGCCTTGCACACCCACCAAGGGGGAGGCGTGGAACCTCCCCCTGGCTCTGGAGAGATGGGGCAAGGCACAACCCTCTCACCAGCAGAAACCTCCCCAAGAGTCTGTCTGTTCCACGTCCTTGTGGGTAACCCACCCCTTCCACCGCTTGGCTGGCCTGATCAATGGGGCTAAGACCACTCACAGTCTCTGCTTGAAATCAGCTTTCCCTCTCATGTTTACACCACCACATTTGGGCTCCTGGGCTCTATCCGGGCAGAGGATGAGGCAGAGGAAGGCGGGGGCCACTAGGCGCAGGCCTCAGGGGTGCTGATGCCAGACATGGTGGCTGAGGTGAGGGCGGCAGCGGTTCAAAAGGCCCCGCCGGGGGATGGTCGTGCCAGTGACCGGGCTGCGGCCGGCGAAGAGGAGCCGGCGAGGAGGAGCCGCCGCCTCCCGTGGCCGCCATCCCCTCAGTCCCCCTCAGCCCCCCTCACCCGCCTCCCGCCTCCCGCCTCCGCACCTCAGGCTCGAGGCCGAGGCACGCCGCCCCGCTGCCCCGCGCGGGCACGGCCGAGTCCTGATTGGCTCCTCTGGCCAGCGGGGGCGGGATCGGCAGAGGGCTGCCGCCAATCCGCGCCGCCAGGAGGTTTTCCCGGGGCTTCCCCGCCCGTGTGGGGAGGAGGGGGGTTGTGCGCAGGCGCGGGGGGGGAGTGGTGACGGTGAGGGGTGGCGGCGGCGGCGCTCGCGCGTGAGGGGGAGAGGGAGCGGGCGCCGGACCCGGACCGGCGCGGTGAGCGGAGCCGAGCCGAGGGCGGCGGCTGCCGGAGCCCGGAGGTGCCCGTCCCTCCGCGACGCCTCGCCCTTCAGCAGGTTTCACCTCAGGGAACGGTTTACCCTTCCCGCAGCGCGCACGGGAGAGTCCCTGTCCCTCCCGGCGCCCCTCAGGCGAAGCCCCCCCTTCCCCTCTCCGCCTCCCCTCAGCTCCCCGGCCCGGGCAGCGCCTCGCCGCCCTCGGTTCCCCTTTTAACGGGCGGCCTCGTCCTCCCGCCATGGCTGTCTGGCGGCGCCTGGCCCGGCTGGCCGCCCACCTGCAGGACCCGCGGAAAGTGGCCGCCTTCCAGCGGCTGTGCGGGGTGGAGGGGCCTTCGGGTTGGGCCGACGCCGAGCAGCAGCAGCAGCGGGCCGGGGGCCGGGGAGCGGTGGTTAACGGCGGGCCCTCGGGAGGGCAGGGGCATCCCGCCGGGAACGGGAGCGTGGCCGGCGGGGCGGGCCCCCCGCAACGGTGGAGGAGGAGGCCGCGCCGCAACTCCCTGACGGAGGAGGACGGCAGCCAGGAGTTCTCCACCCGCAGCCGCTTCCTCTACTATCTCTTCAGCCTGGGCACGGAGCTGGGCAACGAGCTCTTCTACATCCTCTTCTTCCCCTTCTGCATCTGGAACTTGGACGCCTGGCTGGGCCGGAGGCTTATCATCATCTGGGTGTGGGTGATGTACCTGGGGCAGTGCACCAAGGATGTCATCCGCTGGCCGCGGCCTGCCTCCCCGCCCGTGGTGAAGCTGGAAGTCTTCTACAACTCCGAGTACAGCATGCCCTCCACCCACGCCATGTCGGGCACCGCCATCCCCCTGGCGCTCCTGCTCCTCAGCTACGGCCGCTGGCAGGTAATGCTCACCTCCTTGTCCTTCCCCCTGTGCTTTCCAGCCCAGATTTGATTTCTTTTGCGGGGAGAGAAGGGCACAGTTTGGGTAAAATGTGACATTTGTGCCTCTTTTCCTTGCCCTCCCCCTTTTTTTTTTTACTAAATTTTCCTATGAAGTGCTCAGGAAACAAGGGCTTTCCTAATAACTCTGTCTTCTGAATGGAAGTTCTGCTGACTTAGTGACTCAGTTAACTCAGCATGCCTTAAATGTCTGCTTTAACAATCTGTATTTTGTTCTTGTGAGGGTTTTTTTTTGTTTTTTCAACTTGCCACTTGTAGGGTAAGTGCTTTGCACAAAGTTTTGGTAGGCATCTGATATTTTTACGGGTGTTCGGTTTTACTGACTGAAAACTTGGTGGAGAGCCAGGAACTAAAAGGCTTTTTGCTGATCTTTTTTTGCTTTCCGTCACTTTGTAGCTTGAGTCAAATTGTAGCTTTAGCCTTTTCTTTAATGATGTCTTTCATTGTCATTGCCCATAAACTGGAAATTATTATTTCAGTTTTGAGGAGTACATGTACTTTCAGATGGTTTTACAACTACTAATGTGCTAATAATTAGCAGGAACTGATAATCTCTGGTCTTTTCAGCACCTTCATTCAGCAAAATCTTAAGATCTGCCTGTTGCACTTTGGGTCAATAGCTTAAGTTAAAATAACCCTGTTGATCATCTGCTTTACACAAGCTGTGGCATGTGTTTTGGCACTTGCTAACAAGCGGCGAGGGTGACAGTAAGAACTCCAAAGAAAGCACAACACACGTTCAGTGCTCTAGATCACCGCACCAAATGATTTTAGTAGTAAAAAAGTAAAAAAGCCTTGAGAGAAGGCTTTCCCAGGCAACAAATATTCAGTGCAGGGTTTTAAGCGCTTGTGTTTAATGTTTAAGAAGTTATGCAATAAGTCTTGTCTTAAGTTGTTAATGTTTCCAAATTCTTATTGTGATACTTGCTTATTTTATGTCAGATGTATGTTATTTTGGTAGGGAGAACTCTCTTTTTAAGCTTTATGCGTGGGCTCAACTCTGGTCGTCCCAGGTACTGTTAACAGTCCCCAGGTGTCTGCTGTCACTGTGGGACACTTTGTGGCTGTATTTGTAAGTATAGAATGAGTGCCTGAAAGGAAAGAGGTAGTTGAAAGTTAGAGATTGTATTTGGCCTCTCTTTAACTAAAGTTTATGTATCTCCTTCTGCAAGGTGATGCAGCATGCCCAAAAGAAAGCTCTCGTTTGCTGGGAAAATGCTAGAGTTGTGCAGGCATCAGATAATGCCATGGGTTTGGGTGTCTGAAATAAATATTTGAAGTTCTGTCACTGAGATGCTTAATCTCACTGGTTTGGGTTTTTTTACATGATTGGCTGCAATCTGAATATTTGACTATTACTTGTTAGATGTGTAGGCCTGGTGTTAGTTGGAAGAATTTACTGGATTTGTACTAATTTGCATGTGAGAAACATCACCTAGTAGTATCAGTCGATTAGCTTTGTGTAGACTCTGATGTCATGTGTACAAAGGAGAACCCGGCTTGATTGCTTTTATAGAACCAGCAAACTGACAATGTGTGAGCTGATATTTTTGCCAGTGAACTGAGTTCGAGCTACAGTTTGCCAGCCCTGCAACTGCAGTCTGTGAAATACTGTGCTAATATTTATCATGAATGCACATTAATAAATCATAAACATTCAGCGTTCTTGTTATTAATTTAGAACCATGCTTAAGAAATGAGGAAGCAAAGTGTTCCAGTCTTAATTTTGAGTCTTGGTTTTAATTCCTTTTTCCTATGAAATGTGTATAATAACAGACCTCTCTGAACAAAATATCCCTTCAGATTTTTAAATTATTTCCAAATAGAATTCATTTATAGCAGTTAACCCATGGCATGTTGAGTATCTTTTGATTCACCTGTAAAGAGAGTTAAGCTTTCATCTAGGGCTGCTGCTGTTCTCCATATTTTACTTGCATTGAGAGAGGGTAGAATCTGTATGACAACTTTTTGACTATTTGGAAATAAATGGGGTTAAACCTCAGAACTTTTCAGAAAGCTTATTAATGATAAAGGAGCTTTTAATAACTCTGATTTTTATCATGTTATACATATTTATCAGAAGATGGTTAGATTTAAACTTGTTGGCAAATCTTGGGGTACAGTCCTTCTATATATTCAGCATAAGCAAGCATTACACAGGTCCTGGTCATGATGGGTCCACATCTTAGGACTGTTAGGAAAAATCATCGTGGAACAAGACTGAATTTAAGCAGATGCAGCACTACCTCTCTGCAGGGACTTTTATGCTGGTAACTTTAATTGAGTGTGGTGCTTTGAAGTTTACACTAAACCAAAGCAAGCCCCTTTTGCCCTAAAAGAGGTTACTCCAGTGAGAAGGGAATCACTTTCCTGTATAGCTTATTTGGAGTTTGCTTTCATTGGGCTATGACTTCCTACTATTGTGTAATGGAGTTCTTCTAGCAAAGACAATCTACGAGTCTTTCCCTTCAACTATGTAGAGAACAGAGCAAATCTGCTCTTACTTCTCTACGTATGGCCAAAACTGTCCTTTTAAAACCACTTTTTTTTTTATTCCAGTAGCTTTTCTTTTAACCTGTTGAATTAAGATTGTGCTTTCCTAGTTTTCAATGCCTATCAGTAATCCTAGTACAGGATTTTTTTCAAGATAGCCAAAAACCCTTTTGAATACTACTATATACAGTAAACCAAAAATATTTGCTTGTAAATGCAATTGAGTAAAATAGTTTCATATATTCAGTGCAACCAAGTTTCAGAAGGCAACAAATTATATGTTAAGATAATTTACATAATAGCTAATTGTTCTGTCCATTGTGGAAAATAATTTTCCAGTTTCTCCTTGTATTGTGAGAGTTTGGCTGAAACTTTTTATTCCACTTGCATAATCTTTATATATTTATTTTTTTAATATTGTTAAATCTCAGCAGGGAAAACCACTTGTTTCAAAGACACTTCAATAACCTTGAAATAGAAAGCTCATGCCAAAGACTCATGAGAATTTAGCAGTGGTAATAGATGTTGATATTTTTCTTTCCATCTTTGAAGCTCTGATAACCTGAGAGAGGAGGACAAACACTTAAAAACCAGTGAGATTATAGATCTTGATATGATATAGGGAAAAGTATACCTTTATCATGTTGGGGAAAAAACTGCTTGCTTTGAAATATTGGCAGTTTGAGCCAGGCTGGCTTATATTGTTTCCTGAATGGGGAGGAAAAGATAGCGTGAGCTGCTAATTATCTACAAAATCTCCAAAAGCCTGGTGTTCGTTTTTTTTTTTGGGGGGGGGCGGGGGGGAAATCAGTTAGGGAGGCAGAAAACAGGCTTTTTTTCCCCAGAGTTCCTTCAGGATGCAGCCTGGCTGTAGCAGTAGTTGTCTGGGTTAGGAAGTGATGGGTTCACACTCCTTCCTGAACTCTGCATTAATGAGCTGAGTCAGGAGCTGCTGACTCTCACTGCAGGCCATGGAACAAACTTCCTTAAGTTGATATTCAGCAGGAGCCAAGAGCCTTGATTCACAAGTAGTCTGGCCTCTGTAACTACACTAACCAACATTGTTTGAATGGGTTTGTCTTCTGAAGCAGTTCAGATCACTGACGGCATTGTCCTCCCTATGGAGTTGTCTGCCAATGTTACCATCAGTGACTGTCTTTCCACCCCACTGATGGTAATGGCAACCTTAATAAGCAATACTGCTGAACCCACAGTAGAATGCATCTGTTCTCCAATGGCTCCTTTGACAGACATACCTTTTCATGTACTTGGTGCTCTCCTGACTCTCCGTTATACCGATTGTGTAAGAATGGCATGCGGTACCAGGTCAAACACCCTTCCAGGCATCTTTCATCTGCACTATTTGAGGCCACACCTGGAGTATTGTGTCCAGATTTGGGCACCTCAATACAAGAGAGATATGGAGAAGCTGGAGCGGGTGCAGAGGAGGGCAACGAAGCTGGTGAAGGGCCTGGAGAGCAAATCGTATGAAGAACGATTAAAGGAGCTGGGACTGTTTAGTTTGAGGAAGAGGAGACTGAGTGAGGGGAGACCTCATCACTCTCTACAACTCCTTGAGAGGACACTGTAGAGAGGTTGGTGCTGGTCTCTTCTCACAGGTGATAGAACACGAGGGAATGGCTTCAAGCTGCAACAGGGTAGGTTTAGAGTGGCCATTAGGAAAGAATTCTTCCCAGAAAGAGTGGTCAGACCCTGGAATAGGCTGCTTAGGGAGGGGGTTGAGTCCCCATCCCTGAATGTGTTGAAGAGTTGTTTGGATGTGGGGTTGGGGGGGATATGGTGTAGGGGAGAACTTTGTAGAGTAGGGTAGATTGTTGGACTTGATGATCCCAAGGGTCTTTTCCAACCTGAATGATTCTATCATGCTATTACTTTTATCGACCAAAACTGATGACTGTAATCAAATGAGATGGGTTTGACAGGATCTGTATTGGCATTTCAGAGACCTACGTCATTCCATGATTCTAGCTGACCACTATGAAATATTACCTCTAGAATTGTCTGCCTGCTCTTTCGTTTCTAAAGACTAACTTCTCTCAGATCCCACTGGGAATGGGGAATAATTGGTTATTGGGGCTGGATACATAATCTAATCATGACACTGGAGTAGTAAGACTTTTACAGATAGTAGGCAAATCCTAGTTTTAAGTGTCTGTCCTTGTTGAAGGGCTTGCGTTATCGGAAAGATTTACTTAATGATAACACTGGAACCTACACATAGGAGGCCACCTCTTATATACAAAGTCTGTGTGTAAGAGCAAGTACAGACTCCTTTCAGAAAGAGATGCCTCGTTTCTGAGAAGCCCAAATGGATTTTGGTTGAAAGAGTAAAAAGTTGTCAAGAAACTTAGGAGAAGAGAGGCATGCTTGTCTAGTTGGTTTCCTTATAGGTATTTCTTAAAATAAACAAAAACTCTTCAGACATGA